TAATTTTAATTTTTTGTATTTTTGTATTTTTTATTTGTTTTGTATTTTTATTTTTATTTTAATTTTTTTAATTTTTTTATTGTTTGGTGTTATTATTATTTTTTTATTAAGTTTTTAATTTAATTTTATATTTTTAGTTTTATATTTTTATATTTTTATTTTTTTTAGATTTTTTACATTATATTTTATTTTTTAATTTTTTAGTTCTTTTATTTTTAATTTTAAATTTTTTTACTTTTTTTATTTTTGATTATTTTTATTTTATTTTTTATGCTTTATTTTTATTTATTTTTGTTTTTTTTATATTTCGTATCACAATCGTTACGCAGGTCACGTGATCCGAGATTATGTAAAGTACCGTTAATAATTACTTATTATATTATTCAGATATATATATAACGTATATTTTTATATATAATTTTTTTTATTATATATAAATTTTTTTATTATATATAAGTTTTTTATTATATATATTTTTTTTTTTTCCAAAAAAAATAAATTTTTAAAATGGAGGGGGGGGGGGGGGGGGGAATTTTTTTTAAAAGGGGGGGGGGGGGGGGGTAACTGTTGTTAAAAGGGCGGGCGGATGATGTAGCTATTGTTAAATGGGCGGGCGGGTGTTGTAACTGTTGTTAAAAGGGCGGGTGGGTGTGTTAACTGTTGTTAAAAGGGCGGGTGGGTGTGTTAACTGTTATGTTATATAATAACAGAGATCCCTTAAAGTACCCCACGTAAGCGGGGTACTTTAAGGGATTTAATCATTTCTTTCAATTCAATATAAAGTTTTGATTATATAAATCTCAAGATAAAAATAAGTAATAATTCTCTAATAGATCATGATTTAAATAAGACATTGTATTTATACAGTTAAAATTTATTAAAAAAAAAACAATAGATAACATATAAAATTGATTAAAAGATGTTTAAATTATCGCCCATAATATCCATTGGGCACCGGACCACAGTCACCGTTACAAACTATATTTTCGTTATTTAAATCATACCTACATCTAGGGCAGAAAAATCTACAGTCTGATCTTATTTGACCAAATAGACCAATTTGACCAATTTGATAACTTTGATCATTAAAATCATAAATACAATCAAATTTACCACTGAAGTCAGTAGCAGAAGCTAAACTGCACTGAGGGTACTCAATTGGATCTACCCGATCACATATTGTATAATACCCGTTCATTCTACAATTAGCAGGTTTAAATCCAGTGCATTGAGCACCTACAGGAGGGGACACATTCGGGGGTCCGAGAGTAATTGAACAGAGTACTGGTCTTCCTGACTCACATGTTTTAATTTGTCTGGCAACTAATGGAGATGTTAAAGCAACCTCCAAAAAAAATCCGAGAACGAATAATTGCAGTAAAAAAGTGAGTTTCATCTAAAAAAAAAAACATTAGAAAAAATGAAATGTCAATAAATAAATTGGTAATAATAATCAAACCATTAATCGTACCTTAGATATAAATTTGCGTGTTAGAATTTTTAGGACAAACGAAAAATGAATGGTATTTATAATAATTGTAATTCAAAGAAACTTGAGTACATCTTAAACACTGATAGTATATGCACATGTTTAAAGAACGTGTAATATTTTTGTCTCCTCAAATTAATAAATGTTATGCAAAATTGCAGTATATACATTCGCTACATGCACATTTTTCAAATTTATTTCACAATTTTGTGTATACATATAAATATACATGCACGTGCTGCATGCATATTAAAATTAATTAAATACATCACAGGCACGTCATATCAGTAATATATTGCTTTGCTACACATTTTATGCAGGAACTAACAAATTTCTAATTATGCTGTCTTATTATTTTCTCCGTACTTTTGGATACTGCAAACCTTAACCGAATGAATTTTGACAAAATTTTAGAAACAATTGCACTACATCACACCAATGGTGTTCAACACCACATATATGCTTACCAGCTTGCTAGAAAAATTTAGGGTTAGGGAACTTAAACTATAGCGATAGTAAGATATTAAACTTTAATTTGGATGTGGTTTTTTGAGCGTTGAATATTTTTGCTTAGTACCCCTGACATGTGTTAGCTAATGTGTTTTTGAGATATAGCGACTATGGTGTTGCTGGTCTGATTTAGTAAAGCCGTTTATAAATATAAAGAGTAAAAATCTCAAAAAGTGTATAGATAGGTGAAAAGATAAACGGTTACAATAAAAGATATGAAAAATTCATAACACGAATGCTAAAGTTTATCGTTATAGTCCAGCAGTCCAGCTTTGTTGACTAGTATTGGAATAAAGGTAAATAATATTGTTATCAGCGAACCAATGAAAAAATATGAATCTAAAAAAGAATCTCAAAAGGAAAATAATAAATATGCCGTAAAGGAAAAAACTGAATTATGCATACAGCTAATATTACATACATACGTAATAATATCATATCTCGAAAAGTTATAATTACTGAATTATGCACATGCATGCTGTGCCTTAGATGCATTCTTGCATCGGATCCAACGACGTACATCAGATTGGAGTCTAATTACGAACATTAATTAATTGATTTTTTTTATAGCAAAAACATATAAAATTTAACTTGCTTATACAAATAATATTATATTTGTCAGGTTCCTTTTGTCATGCTCTTAAAGTAATAATAATGTTCATTGGAATATTTAAATATTATGGAAAATTTTATTTTTACAGATCGAAATCTAAGGATATAGAATTTTCAAATCAATAGGTAAATAAGACATAATTGTTTAAATATTTTGTACGTAGTATAATCATTGAATTTTTACTTAATTTACTTTATAAACATATATTTTCTTTAATTACTTAGATGCGCACCATTTTTAGTATCGACATTACTAAAATGCATCTATGATGTTTAGCACATATGCATGCATTATTCAAAAACTGTTAATTTAGCATTGTGAGGTGTTCAGAGTTAATTTTGGGAATAAAAAAGTATGATTGGATTTAGTAGATTCATAGTTTTAAATCAATTACAGCAATAATGAGAAATCTTAGTTATAGAAGATCGTTACGAAGACAATACAAGATCATAATCAATAATTTTATCACAAAATAATACCATTTATTGCTATAGGATTTCGTTTTATAAAATAAAGTTTATATTGAAATAACTTAGTAATAACATATGATATACTGTAAATGATAAAAATGCAGCCATTGTCAGCGTTCGTAAATGTAAGTAATGTAATTTAATTTAAATCATTTTAAAATACTGCGGATTTTTAAATATTACTAATAGAAAACTTAGAGTATGAAGATTGGAAAAATTAAGAGAATTGCGCATTTCTAATTTAGTTAAAGAATGTAACGTGGTTTAAAACGTTAATATGCTTTTTTGCTTTACTAGTTTATTTGAAAAAAATAAATTTCTTTCATAATTGCTTTAATATTTGCTTTGCTAAACTATTTTACTCATTATAATTGAAAATATGCAAGATATATTAAAATTTACTAATGGAATTAAAAATGTTTGCCTTGAGTATACCGAATTTTTCTTTCTACAAGAGCAAGATTTAGTACTGCAATTCGTTTTTCAGCAACTGAAAGAATTTGGACAAGTTTTTTGACTTGAACCATTATTATTTGCACCGTTACTTCAATTCAAATTACATCAGTAAAAAATTTTTTTTTTCCAACACCCTCTAGAGAGATGCCATATGACGTTAGTTTCAGTAAAATTTTAATTGAAATCGTTCTTGAGTATTTCTGAATTGAGCATTCTTGTGTTGGGTGTTCTTGAGTTGGGCGTTCTTGCATAGTATAAATTGTTTTTCTTGAGTGCTGAATCTTATAAGATTGACGTTCTTGAATATTATGAATTTGACACACAATATTTTGCTTGGTGTGATTTTTTAATATCTTGAAACATTCATTGTAACGGTCTTTATCCATCAAACTTTGTTTTTTCTTTGTTCGCGTATGTTTCCAAGATTCGGTTAAAGATCTCATGGGTCAGAAAAGAATAACTTTGTGGATTCAGTAGTAAGAGAAAAAAAAAATTACATGATAATAAAAGAATATTTTTTAATAAGCTATCGTTGATTATAATATGATCTGCATTAAGAATTTACCTGGGTCATTCATCAATTGAAAAATGACAGACAGACGCCAATTGATAATTGACGTAAATTGAGAATGACGCATAACATATATATATTTATCGATAAGTCATCAGTATCACTATTTGAGTTATTATGTACCGATGGATGTGAATTTATTTGGTTTTTATTTCAAATTTTGTATCGAATTACACTCAAATTCGAACATTTTAAAATCAAAATTTTAATTTTATTTAAAACTTCAAATTTAGTACTTGTCGATTTTTTCATTCTTATTTTCGATTCGTGAGAATATTACTGTATAAAAAAAAAGAATTAGTAAGAAAATACTAAATAAGACCAATTAACTCAGTGAAGGCAACAGATATATAAGGGTTTTTTAACACTTTATATAACCATATTTCACACTTCCGATGCAGAATACTTCCGATTAATTTCACGATTCGTAGAAATAGATCGGAGAATATTGCTAAGCATTTTTGGTTTGTTCAACGATTCGTGTAGCAAATCCGAAAATGCCAGCCTTCGTAACATATTAATAAAATTTCACGATTCGTAGAAATAATATCAAAAAATGGTACGGACCCACGGCAACTTTTAACTTGTTAAACGGAAACATATCGTACGTGCCTAACAAATTAACATGCCTATGTGAACCCTATTTGTAACATTCTAATAATTTCACGATTCGTAGAAATACTTTAAAATGTTACAGCGTTCATAACAGTTCCGATGTCTCATATACTTGCATATACGAAAAACGCCGGAAGTGTTAGGTGTGCGATCAAAAGCATTCAATATATAATACCATTTTTAAACAGTATGAGGAAGGTGCGTAACTGACCCCTTATCCAGGACCAGTAGACCTCATAACCGCCAAAAACAGTATTAAGTTGCAAACACATTAAATATTAATCGATACTTACACCCAGTAGCTTCTATATTCTACACGTAACATATGGTTTGCCCCTTTTTTTCTTTATGTCGTGTGTTTAAAATTTATTTTTAGTTGTTTTTCCACATCATATACATTAACCAATTATTTTCACTAACTTCTCCATGTCGTATAGATCTTAAGATTTCCAAATTATATATGTTCTGAGGCTTCATGGTCTTGTCCGATTTTCATCTTCAAATATTCGGATTCTTCCTAAATACTATAGAATCTATTGGATTTTAGTATAAATAATATCTATGACTATGCCAACTTATACCTTCGTACCGTTCTTCAAACTTTCTATTTTTCAATATTCACTTTGTAGTTTCAAATCAATCTTCGTATGCATTTTCAAAGTGCGTGTTATTGATATTGTTTTTTTAAAGTAAACATTAAATAATACGAATAAATAATATGTTATTTTATAGATCAGGAAAACAATTGATAATCTGTAGGGAAAATGCGTCCAATTGGTTAATTTTTGTAGATCTACCGTGATAATTAGCCAATCAAACTATAATATACAGTAAGGTGGGGTAAAAATAGTATTTATTACGATTTACAAGGCATTGAATTCGGATCTTCTGCTAAAGAACCTATACTGCCTAAATTAGACAGTTAATGATAAAATTTTAAAACCACTCATGATCCAATAAGCGACGGCAAGTTTTGGTTTCTAGCTAAGTATGTCATGTTTATGATCTTTTTGAGTGAAAGTTAGCACTCTTCTACAGTTGTAAATAATGCTTGCATTAATGCTTGTTAATAAAACAATCAAGTACTTTGGAACATTTAAATAAATCAGGATCTTTTTTCTATGAATTGATATCAATATGAATGCTGCTAAAGGTAAATTTGTAATTACAGAATTAGATCTTTAAATTTCCAGTGTATCGGACTTATTCATATTATGTATTATATAATTGTAGAAAAATTATTATTAGTGTTAACCCGTTTCGATATTAATTTGAACGATTCACAAGATATTTATATGCCAGAACACTGATCGTACAAGGATTAAATTACAACTTTTCTGAAGTTCAGTGCGGTAAAATTTAAATTTGTACTTACAGGTCTTCTCTTGGCAACGCTTATCACTAAATCCTATCTAAATAAACAATTTGTTTTTAGCGAAAACTATTAATGTCGACACTGAACTATTCGTTGTAAGTTTAAAGAGAGTATTACGGTTTCGGCTGTTATGGGCTTCAAAGTTGTCTGTTTACAAGAAGACGCGGATCAAAATTTATCGGCTAAGCTGGATTTAACCAATTTTACCAATTTTACTTACGATTGTTCAAAATTTTACTATAAGCCTAGTACCATCAAGATTAAAGTTGTGATCTTATGAGGCAAACAAAAAATTTT